ATTACTTTTGATATACCGTGCACTGTACAACATTATATAGGTTAAGAAAAGTGACAATGCAGTGAAGTTGGAATCTTAAGTTGAGGGCAGGCGAAAAAATTCCATTTGGAACATTATAGTCATGATGAAGTAATAGAAGAAGAAGACATTGTTGTCAACACAGATTACATTTATTTAAACATTTGTTTCAAATTGCAGGTTACCTCAGCTTGTACATGAACATGATCCGGCATTTAAGAATTTCACACGATTATCGACGCGTATCGCTGCACATTACGATCAAAGGGTACAAGGGGCATAACGCTTCACTTAAGCTGCGAGGGGCACGCAAAACAAAGAACCGGTGCGTTGAAGTTAAAATGCAATCTAAAAATACTTAAAGTAATTAATGCGTTTTGAAGTAGTACTGACGGTAATTAAAATTATCTATCCGTAATTAATGTAATTAAAAGTATTGAAAATGTAATTAATGTACTTTAATTACGAAATTTCAACTGTAATTAATGGAGTTAAAAAGTAGTTAATGTTCTACATTGTGTAATTAATGTAATTAAAGCAGTAGTTAATGGAATTAATTTAATTACAGCAGTTGCCTGCGTTGGAGTTAAAGGTTATTGCGTGCCCCTAGTTAAGCTGAGCATGCATTTTCTCAGCAGTTGTAAATCATTGGTTTGATGTGTCAGTGAACGGTTTATTTAGATGTTTTCTATCATATGCATGAGCAGTTCTTCACAAGACAAGGTTTTTTTTGCATGTATAACTTTACCAAGTTCCTCATTTCCTCATTGTGATAAGTGGTCACGCCATGATCCACCTTAATCCGCTGACTTGCATGAGGCATGAAAGCAGCGCTGTTTTATATCTTTTCAGGTTCAAAGAACGATGTACAACCAAATGGTAGGTACTCGATTAGTACGACTGGGTTAGGGAAAACCGTTTATTTCATGAAAACAGAGATAACATTATCATTTGTATATTTTTAAAATGTTTTTTTTTGTGGAATATTGAAAAAAATATTTATTTCGGCAGATTCGTAATGTAATATGCTATCGATTGGCGTATTTGGATTTTATTTTTATTTATAAATGACAAAGTTACAAGCGTTCAAAACCTAACACTATTTCACACACATATTTTTTGATTTGCACCCCAGTATAGCCGACAAAAAAAAACTGGAGCATCTTGGTTAACATGAAGTCTAATTTGTTTTGAATTTGGAATAAATAAAAAACTTAAAAAAAAAACAAATGCAAATAGTGGACTTCATTTACACACTCATCATGAAATGTTTGCTTCCAAGGTCGAATGGATCGACCAAGCAAACTGCAGATGCTGAACAATGAACACCACACAATAGCGTCATATATATTGAGAATTACGTCTGTTTCTGTCGACAGCAATGAGATAGACAAGATCGCCATTTCAAATTCATTTTCAACCGAAATCTGCAAAAAAAGTATGCCACCTGATGAGTATGGTATTTATTGTCAACATATTAGTTATTTCTTCCTCATATGAAAATTGTGATGTCAATATAAAACGATAATTGATGTAGAAAGTTTTTTTTTTTATTTCAAATGTACGTATAGTTTTATCTTATAAGATTGCAGCCTGTAGACTTGGAGACATACTTCAAGTCTCCGCGTACATCGTACGGGTTAGGCAAAAATGTGCGTCTATCTTTAAAAACTGTCGCATTAATGGCCCTTCGCTCATTTTCAACTTCTATTCAATTTTCATACTGCCGTACTCTAACGGAACTATCCACCTACCCTCTTCTAAAGATCATTCTCTAGCTAATAAATCATCACACTAAAGCTTCATGTTAGCATTTCCAACCAACTCTTATAAGATTGATTTATGAGATACAGCTATCCACCGCTTTTCTCGGCGGGGTTTCAACCAGTCGGTCTGGTTTTATGCATGTGAGTAGTGTCAATAAAGAACTAATCACGCGCAGAAAATTAGAGCGATTTGGTGAAAACCCACCAACACAAATCGTTGGGTAGAACTCAGTGGTTAACGCGTTCTTCGGGGAAAAGCTGTATTCAGAAAGAATATTTTGGCTCAGGAGGCCTTTTGTAGCATTTACCCTACCCCCTATGTAACATCGTAGAATGGCGTTCAATGAACGTCGGGCTGCCTGCAGCTTCGATCTGGCAGAGGGAGTGCATGAACTCGTGCACTTATGACCTGATGAATGTTGTTCAATTAAATTATCCATTCCATTCGCTCTCATGTAGAACTAATCTGCAGACGATCCCACGACCAAATATCGTAACACCCCGGCATTATAAACCTACGCAGTATCTGTCTCTATTTGGATGTGTCTATCTAATAGTAAAATGTTTGTTTTGACGGATTATTTGAACATAAAAGCATACTGAAATCGTTTCATTCATTCGCTACGGTTCATAGACTTAGCCGGATTTCGGAGAGCACGCCCCAAAGCCGGCTCAAAAGGATTTACGAATGTGTTGTAGGCACGGTCTTTATCATAAAAAATACAGCAAACAGTAAGCACAAACACATGTCGGTTGCTTTTCATCTTCTCGCTGCAACTCGGCGCATCATTGCGTAGAGAAGAGAAAACAAACTGCATCTTGCAGAAGGAATCATAACAAACGATTGTGCGACTATCGCCGTTCCTGTCATTAGCACTCGGAGTGTGCGATCTTACGGGATGCGGTGCGGGGATTGAACGGTGAACTTTTCGCTTTTCCTCTTACTATAAATCATCCGGAGGATCAGTTAAATCCGACAATAATCAAGCGTGTTCAACACGAGCGCGATGTGAGTCGAGCTGAGCATAGCATAAAAGATCACACATAATGTATATAGGGTTAATGTCCCTCATGTCGGCCTAATATTGGGCCCGTACATCATTTCTAAGGAAAGCATTTTTTGCCAAATTTTCGTATTGCTCTAGAAAAATTGAAGAACAGGAGATTTTTAGCGATGGGTACAATCTTTAGGTCCATAGGCCAACATTAGAGCCATTTCCCCTACCACGTACCTATGATGTATGCGGCAGACCAAATGTAGATACGATAAAAGAAAAAGAAAACTATCAATGTGACAAAATTGGGGAACATTGCCGGTTTTTATATTTTTACAGTTTCAGAAGATTCACAAGAAAACCCAAAATAAGATAGACACTGACATGTTTCCAGGAATTGGGGTAGCGAAATAATGGATGTGCATAACATCTCTGATCAGCCTTCCTTAGGGAAATAAAGCTGTTGGTCTTTGGTTCACGTCATGGGTCGATAGGTAGGGTCCAGGTGTGGGAGCTGCCTCCCTGCCGTCGGTAGCATTGGTGCTCAGCACGGAAAACAAGATCGATGGAAAACAAATCTTGGAAAAAAAAAATCTAACGAAATTTCGCATAATTGTTTACTTTACACAATCGGAATAATAGGTATCTGAGTGAAGGTTGTTTGAGAAAACAGCGCTTCCAGATAAAATCAGACACGGGAAAAATTAATAACAAATTGCGGTGAAAAAAAAAACCCTCTTCGATTCCCATGAAGCTTTGCATATTGGGAAGTTATTAATTGTTTTGTATAATTTGGCTTTTATGACTTGTGCCTTATTTTTCAAGCGTATTCGATATTTTCCAATAAATCAGAGTAATTATATATATATGATATATATTTGTAATATTTCATGATATGTCTCATAACTTTACTACATGATCTTAAATGCAAACTTGTATGATAGGGCAAATTGCTCCAATGTTGGCCTATGGATCTAAGATTCATCGCTAAAAATCTGCTTTTTATCAATTTTATCTAGATGAACGCGTCATTGGGATGTTTTTGTTTGGTCGCTATTGAAAATTTAGTCGATTGCTGAATTTATGTATGGGCATTTTTTTCGAACTGTGCATAGTTTTCCACAATAAATACAATAGGGACACGGTTTTTTCAAGGCTTTTATCACATTCATCTCTCTTATGTTTGTATAGAGTAAATATGTGCTTTTCAGACGTTTATGAATGATTACATGGAATTAGGATACGATTCGAACATTTGCAATTGTATACGCAATTGCAGCTTCCTGATGACTTATAAAAAATCTGATACTTCTAAAAACATCTGCAAGTGTAACGCAATCATGCTCTGATATCAGATTATCCCTTCAATATTACGCCCCCAGAGTTGGTACAAATGTTATAATTTATCGTTTCGAAACAAACTTTTGTTTGTAAATCTTCGAGGACTTCAAAACATCTTCAAAACAAATTTAAAAACATTGAGTTTTGTTTTGCCCGGTCTTCGAAAATCTCAAAACGATCTTTGCCTCAAAACGAACCACGCCACGACCGTGCATGCATATATTTTCATTCATCTGCAGAGTTCACATAACATTCTTTTAATTCTCGTATTGTTTTGTTTCAAATTTGCGATATGCACATAACAAGGCACACAGTTTGCCCTCCCGTCATTAATTCAATATTCAACGGACAATTCATCTCATTCTATGTCTTTTGACCGTAGCCCGCATCTTCATGCTCGCATGCGGCTCACTTAGCACATACTTCTCAAATGAGTCGTGTTTATTTACTTTCAGCTTTCATTTGTTCTTCTTCTCCGATAAAAGTGACGTTAAAGCGTGAAGATGCCGATTAGAGGAAGAAAAAGTCGGAATACGAGTAAGTGCATCTTCGAGGAGGGGTTTGGGAAGCAGCTCAAAGTCACTACTGCTCGGCTCCATTACATGAAAGGTCTGTATGTCTACTCTGCCGGCAGTTCATGTCTGGTCGGTTTTCGGAGGAGCGCAAGGCTTACTGTTTCTAATGCCATGCGTCATGCAGCGGTTAGAGGAAGTCGTGAACCGCTTTATCTAGGGGTATTCGCATTCGATGCCACCATCGGAGATGTAACGTGACTCGACCAACAGTAGATAATGTTACGTTCCATATTGGTTAATAGCGCTGTTGCTTTCAGTTATCTTAATCTTGTTACTTGTGGTTTCATTGAATTACTGATACTTACCACTACTATGGGTACTGCTATCCCGATGATGTACAGCATCCAGTTCTTGAAGGCGGAATAGACGGGAAGAAATACATAACAAAAATTAACTGACTGTGTGAAAACCAAATTACTGTTCAATTAACTTACCGTGACGGTCGAGTCATGAAATGGATGCATGAGTGATTCATCGTCGCAGAAAAATCCTCGTTCGTACGGTTGTCCGACGAGGAAAAAGATCAAAATAGGGAATCCAACTGCAATAAAAATACGAAAACGGAAAAAATATGTGTTCCATGAGTTTGCTTCTATATCGGAATGTATTTTACGGCGCGACAAACTGTAGTGGCAGCAGGTTGCTATAACTTGTGCTTATCTACTATCAATATTTGAGGTTGCGAGTTGTTTGAGTACGTTTAAGGTATATAGAAATAAGTGTTTCATTGTCTCGTCAAAGTATGTCGGATAACTATCAAAAGCCGACAAGAATAGTGGGTAGTGGGAAAAGAAACTAGGTAGCGCGGCTTGTTTGTATGCATTTTGAATGTGGACATAAATTGTGTTCCACTAGGAAGACGACATATTTCAGTCTTTATTGAAGTGTAATAAATTAAAAACGAATTAGAGTGATTCTGTCTATTTTCAGCGATTCTCAGGGTCACTGGTGGATTGCTTATAAATAGGTCGTTAATGTTAGAGAACTTTGGGTTTATTTTATCTTTGGTCGAAGTTTTGGAATGTTAAATCAGGAGGAAATGAAATAAGGTTTTGATCCCTGTCGCTAAAAATAAACGATCTGTAAGCTTACAGATGAAAAACAAATTCCAATGTATGTATATGTATGTAAGGTAGCCACCATCCCTTCGAAGATCTTGTCTTGTAAGCTGCTCTACTTAATAGCAAGATCAATTTGAGCTGTATTCACAATATCGCTGTATGAAGGGCCAAAAACGGAGGGGTGGACCCGTAAGCAGATACACTTACGCGAAATCCACGGGAATTTAAGAATCTCTTTCCAACGATACGATCCAACAAATCGAATAATGTAACTCGCAATACTTATTAAGCTTCCTACAGGATGGTTTGTTAAGAAGCGTCAATTTAGCTGGAACTGTTGGAGTAGAATTCACAACACCACAATCTAATCGGTAGGATAAAGAAAATGATAGTGTTTATCCCCTCCTAGACTCCGGTTATAATACCACTCCATCGTCCAGTTCCAGGTCAAATGATACCCTGATGCTCCCATACAACCCAGTATTTATTTATATAAAGTAAATATATGTAATGTAGAAATGAAATGTATCAGAACATAAAATATATCATATTTGTATGAAATACATTTACGTGGATAAAATAGTTGGTATGATATGATGAAAATAATAAATATTGTACATATAAAAAGATGCAGCTCTATGGAGACAGCTCAGCTCATAATAAAAGGGTGATGTAAGACTGAAATGTCAAGGTTATATTTAGCAAATAAATAGCTTTAGCTCGAATAATACTTGATATTCACTCCTTATAATAATGATGAAAAGTTAATGAAGAAATAATTAAAATACATTTATCTGTAAATAAAAGTTGTTTTACTGCTTCCTGCTATTATGCAATCGAGCAAATCACGACCAACAACAGAAAAGAGCACATCAGTTATTGCGAACAAAACTTCGGAACCCTTTTTCTCGTGACTCAAGACTTGCCAACGCAAATTAATACCTTTTTTTGGGTTGGGGAAAGTTTCCCTTATCCGATGATGCTGGTAATTTGCGTTCGATTAGCGAGAAAAGAATAATCAACGTTTTGTTTATAAAAGTTAATAGTACCTTTTCAATTGTTGGTTTACAATATATTGAATTGGTTTCGCTTTTTGCGCTTTTAGCGACTATACGTAAAGCGTGTTCAGAATTTTAATAATATTTACCTTCCACGGTCATTTATTATCATTAATTTTTTAAACGATGTGCAAAACTTGGCAATTCGGTGAAAAATGTTCGAAAAATGCATTAACATAATGAACTGCTTAAAATGCTTACGTATGACGGTTTTGTTGAATATTTCCATCAATTGCTCTCTGGATCTTGATGAAATATCTGAGGGTACCTATTGTTGCCTATTTGTTTACATGTCCTTCGTACGTGATAATTACCATTAATCGTTGCCAGCAAATTTTGCATGAACGGACCTCAGGGAGCATACATCGTTAAAATCTATAATCAGCCCATCATTGTTGATTGCGTTCCCCGAGATAAGCCTGAGGCAGCAGTGGGTTGTTGTATGACATCATATGCGCTTTGCTTGATTGTCGATGATTTGCATCCAAAAGAGACGATAAACTAAAAAAAAAGTACACTGGGTCGATCGTTCGGCCGGGCATTGCTCTGCATCCAAGAAGACGTGAGGAACGAATATTTGCAAAAGTACGTACGCGGCATATTTGCATACTATCAGCATAAATTATTTTCGTTGGGGTCGAATCTTGGTCAGTAGCAGCCGCTGGCGATGTGAAAGTATGGATTCGTTATTCGGAGTGGATGCTATTTAAATATGCGTCTCGCAACGTAAAAATATGCCAATTTTACATGATCGAATTGTAAAAGCGATAAATATACCGTGACCTTCGGGACATTGTGAAAATGCTATCTGTCAAATTGCATGGATTTTTTTGTAACTGTAGATCTGAAAACTAGGTATCGCATGATTAGTTTTAGCCAATAGAGCATTTCGACATTTTTAATTAAAAAAAATGTAATATTTTACAGAATAATTTATTATGGAGGCGCATGTAAAAAAGAAGATACGATGTATTTAATTAAAATGACGTCAGAGAAAAAAAATATAGGTAATAAATTTTATTGGGTATCAAACTAGAGCTGCGTGACAGCTTTGTTTTCAAGACTTGACCCATTTGAATAAATTTTGCTTCTATCTTTGACAATACAGCAGAAGGACTAGTCTATATTGGCAGCTTGAACGCTGGATTCCGTGTGTCTTGTTTCAAGATAGTTATAGAAAAAATGCTGTGACGTTTGCGCGTAGATACATCCGCGTAATAATCCGATTGAATAAGTAAATCCGTGTCGAACGAAATATCTAAATTATGTAAGTTACGAAAACCGCGCGAATTCCGAACGCCGTGCTAATTATCATTTAAAGAGAGCCACCAAAATAAATGTGATAGCCTATGTTGGCAAGTTGATTAATTTTGTTTTGCTCCCTAGATATTCTACTTATTTTACTATTGAGATTTATTTCAAATTAGTTATTTTACCGCACGTATCAATCATTTCAAAATTTTGCAACCGTACCGAACAAAATCTAAACTACATAAGCTCAAAAACGTTTTGGCAAGCTCTATCGAATTGCGAATCACTTCAGCGTAAGTTCCGTAGACGTAGGCGCATTGAAACCGACAGCTGCGAAAAGTTAAACATGCATCAATAGCATATAAGGAAAGATCCATTTTACAGTCACGTAGGGTTTAGTTCATAGATTAACATTGACTGCTGTTTACAAATGTAAGTACTTGAACACAAAGAAATATGTTAACTCAAATGCTTTAACCGCAAATATCAGAGATTTCGCTTATTGAGAGAATAATATAGTAATCGAGTACAATAAAATCAGGGGAAAACAATACCTACAAAAGATTAAAAGTTATCAATTGTCACATACCTCTACTTTTACTTATTTCCTAAACTATTCCTCTCCTTGTTAATTTGCTAAATGCTATTGGTTTGCTTGCGTTTTCTTATTGAAGTTCAAGAGGATTTAATCTACAACTTTAATGGTTAGCTGCCTCCCTAAGCGGACCCCCGCATCTTAATTCTTTTGTTAATCTGCTTAATGTTATTAGACTTTCTGAGTTTTCTTATTTAAGTTCGTTTGATGATTATGATATCTCATTAGCCTAATTTAATAAATAATTGAAATCTCTAATCTACCTAATCAATTATAACCCATGCTTTATTAAGTACCTGCACTTGTGCTTGTAATCTAAAATTACACGTGTTTCAAGTACTTTTGATTCTGACCTATACCTATTTATTATATCTTAGTTCGCCCCAGGTGACACCTTCAAGTGACTAAAATGCTTCGCTTTGAAGTTAGTTTCCTAGCTGATTTTTAAATTATATAGGGTTTATGCTCCAACTATACTCACACATTTCTACTATGCCGTACCACAAAAATACGTATGGGTATGTCACAATAGAAGCACGTCACAGTGGAAATCCCGAGCCATAGGTCAAACACTTATCCCAAAATCTCAAAATGAAGCATATATAATATTAGTTGCAACACCATGTACAAAAATGGTGTTTAACATTGTTCCCTGAGCAATACTTCAATGAAAACAACAATGAAAGCTTGTCACGCAAATAGAGGGAGCACTGTTGGGCACTTTCTGTAAAATTTCAATAGTATAATAAATCTATCTGCGTAAAAATAAATAAAATAACAGTGATTTGCGGAGAACCCGCCAGTATCGCACTCAACGTCAGTGCCTATACGTAAGCGTACTACACCGCGGCTTTCAAACAAAGGAGTAACAAGTGCGATACTAAATATCACTGCTAGACTAGATTTTTGGTTCTCTCATGTAGTGTTTCATCAGAGAGGGGAAGCTTAGTAATCCCCATCGTCTGCCCATGGCGCCATTCTATCGCGGCATGAGCCAGCAACGCCGGCCATAAACCTAACGTCTCCAACACTCCACTATAAAGCATGAAATTAAGCCCGCCCATCAGCAACAAGGTGCAAAAACTATCCAAGGGAAGAGAAAAAAATTGTGGATGGTTTTCGAAATGATTTTGTAATTTGTATGTTAGCTTATGTTTTGGACAAATTTTATATTCCCAAATGCGTATAGAAAACCATATCGTGAAAATATGCATTCTGGATAAACTTGCTTGTACGCTGCAGTCCCTTGCAAGAACTGCCATTACATTTGTTTTATAAAATATATGCAGAGGATGTAATAAATCCAACCTTACATTGCATGTAACATAAATCTCTGGCGCGTACAAATGCGAAAATTGTGTAGGCTTAGAAAGCTCTAAATTAACAACTGTGGACTCGACGGTGGATGTGTTCAAAGATCAATAAGTAAAGTCCCAGTAGAGACGTAATTATGCCAAAAGAAGAAGTTTATAATTATTGTTTTATAGATTAAATTCCAAAATCACAAAAAAATCGAAGTTTTGCAGAGTTATGACAGAAAAACTGATCCCCTTTTATCTGCGTGTTTTTTCAAAGA